GCGCAGTGGCTCACACCTGTAATCCCAGCACTTTGGGAGGCCAAGACGGGTAGATCACGAGGTCACGAGATCAAGACCATCCTGGCTAACATGGTGAAACCCCGCCTCTACTAAAAATACAAAAAATTAGCTGGGCGTGGTGGCGGGCACCTGTAGTCCCAGCTACTCTGGAGGCTGAGGCAGGAGAATGGCGTGAACCTGGGAGGCGGAGCTTGCAGTGAGCCAAGATGGCGCCACTGCACTCCAGTCTGGGCGACAGAGCAAAACTCTGTCTCAGAAAAAAACAAAAAACCAAAAAAACCTACCAGCACATGTTCAATCTATTTTTTACATGGTTTATTAGTGCTCTATTCCATTTAACCTAGTTTGAACATTCATCCAGAAAATGCAAAAAAAAAAAAAAAAGGTTAGTTTGATGATGGCAAATTTCATCAAATAAAGCACTTGCTTTAGGAAAACTCACACAAAAATTATCTTGTCCAGATCTGTCTTACCAATTCAAAACTTAGCAAGCAAAATCCTAAAAATCCAAATCTGGGTGCAGGGAAATCAAGAGGTTTCTTTCCCTGACTTTGTTTTTGCAGTTGAAAACTTTACTTTGCCAAAAAGTATTTCCAAAATGGAAAAATTTGGTTTCAATTATCATGGTTGAAATGCATGCACATCTGCTTCAGGCAGCAGTGATGCCCAAAACTTTTTACAGAATTTTCTATCCCTGACTTCTAAGGTTCGGGGAGGACTAAGTAACTTGCCACTGGGAACAGAAAAAAGGCGAGGTTGCTCAACACTTGCTCTTCCCTGGGTCTTGCCAGCATTTAACCTGACATTAGAAAACTCAACATTTAAAGTATACTGGCTTTCAAAGTCTTGTCTCCTCAGAAAATATTCTCTATCTGTCATTCCTGGATCAAAGGTGAATAGATGAGCTCCTTTGGATCAGAAGTTCCCTGAGGTCCAGGAACAGGCTCTCCTTCGTAAAAACCAGTCAGTAAGAACTATCCTCTGAGGACACCTCACACAAAATCACAGCACAGTGCCCGGTACATGATGCCCGTCTCAAGCAGGGGCATCACTGTGCTTCTGATGAAGAAAATAATCATGATTTTAAGAAAAATAGACAATTAACTTCCCCTTTTTATGATGCTTCCTCCAAAGTTGTGCTGCTCTGTAACTCTTGCAGATCTGCCACAGTCTGGGCCTAAATGTTTTTTTTATTGTGGTAAAATAGATGTAATATAAAATTTATAATTTTAACCATTTTTAAGTACAGTCGTACTGTTGTACAACCATCACCACCATCCATCTCCAGAATTCTTTCATCTTCCCAAACTGAAACTCTCTATCCATTAAACAATAACTTCCCCATTCCTCCCTCCCTCCAGCCCCTGGCAATCATTTTACTTTCTGTCTCTATGAATCTGACTAACCATTTATTTTGAAATTTTATTTTAAGCTATCCACAAGGCTGATTTCCAGAACTGAAATAAAATCCCAATTGCAAGGACAACTGCCATTTATGATACCTATCTTCTCTACATACCCACTCACATGGACACAATTTATCATTGTAATAGCTAACAGCCAGAGACCCTTTCCCTTTGCAAAAGAGAAGACAAAATCACCTTTGTCTGACTGGTCAAGCCACAGTGATTCTCCCACAGAGGGAACTGGGGAAGACTTAGTATCATAAGTTCCAGGAGAGACCTCTAAATCTAGAAAGATACAGCAAAGGTTAGTGCAAATTCACAAGTTCTTCTTGAGATTTTGGCCTGAACAAACATGTATCCAGCCCATGGTTCCAAATCACTGAGGCAACTAGATGCCACAGGTTGTCTATAAAAAGAAAGATTAAGGTAGATCTTGATGAAACCTAAAAGAAGAAATGCCAAGCCCTATGGGGTAACTTACTATACGGAGATAGTTTTAGGTAAGAAGCAAGATGATGGCCTGATAAGCTCCCTCATTTCCTCATGGAAATGGTTCTACATAATCTGCTTTGGATGATAAACAGAGAGAGGTCCTAAAATATGCCTTGGTTAGTAACCCAGCAGCGAGGTATAAGCTACAACATAGCAATAGGTGGATACCAATGATAATAGCAACTACCATCTACTGAGTACTCACTCAGTGCCTAAAAAACTTTACTAGGTACCTTACACATATTGTATCATTTAATCTTCACAACAGCTCTATGAAGTATAAGTACTGTTATTATTCCCTTTACACAGAAGAGAAAAATTAGTTCTGAAAAGAGTGTGACACACTCAAGGTCACACTGTAAAGTAGATTCACCACTAGGTCTAAGTTACTCCAAAGCCCATGCTTTTAATTAATAGCCTTTCAAGGTACAAAGTATTTTCATACCCTCATGGCAAAGAAAAAAAATTGTTCATTAGCAATCTCTTGGTTGAAATTTTGTAATGCTTAAAAACAGCCCCAATTAAGATTCAGCAGGTTAAGTGTGGAACAAGCACCAGATTCAGGATCCCTCCAGTCTCTGGAGGTTGGACATGTGATCCTAGGCAAGTCACTCAGCTTCTCCGGACCTCAATTTCCCAGGGAACTTGCAAAACAAGGCTACTTCCCTCTGTTCTCCCCCCTACCTCAAAGCATTCCATGGAGTCAGTTACCCGTGCTAAGATAATAAGGCTGATATCCAAAGATGAACCTATTGGCCAAAGGCTTCAGTCTCTTCTCTCATCAACTTTCTTTTTAGTTATCAGAGCCTCACACAAAGGTTATTAGTTAATCAGCTAATAACTATTCAGCACCTGCTATTTGTGTACCCACACAGTAGTCAATGGGCATATTTAGAAGTACAAGGTACTAGCCTTGCCCTTGAGGACCTGTCTCCAAGTTTGGGGACTGCTAAGACATATGAAATAAAAGCACTAAAAGATCTGATGGGCCTATTATTCAGTGTCCAACTATGAGATGCAAACTAGAGGGATTAGAATTCAGAAGAACATCAGCCAGGACTAGAAAAGCTGAGTTTCCAAGATAAAGTAGAATTTTAGAATAACCTTGATAGATAACTTTTGCAAAATTAGAAGGGAAAGACATCCAGCAAAAGAAACTCTGGGAGCTAAGGATATGAGGCTAGATGAAGTAATGTATAGGATGGGTGATCATGAAAGAGATCAATAGAATTGTTAGTAGGTTTATGAGTGAGCAGTGGGAATGGGAACAGGAGTTGGAGTTCAGAAGACTTGAATGCCTGGCATGGTAAGCTGGGCTTGAGGCAGGAACAAAAGGTATGACCTGGGTGACCTGGTGAACATTGGAAGCTGCTCGGTTTGGATTTCTTGTGTACCATCTGCCTTCAGCAGAGGAAAAGTACAAGAACATGTGCAACTTGGTGTTCTAAAGCCATAGACATCAGCCATCCCAGCTGAGAGGCCCCAGGACAGGGGCAGGGACTCATTACATTTCTGAACACAGAACTGGGAACACAGTGCCCAAAACCATTTGATCCGCTGCTAGTAGTCTCACACTGATCTCTCAACCCCAGTTACACCACAGATCAAGCAAATAGGCATGGCCCAGAATCTCTAAACCTTCATCACATCAGCCCCATTCTCTGCCACCTACCAGATCAATGGAACACTGTTTTGGGGACCAAAGACACTGCTCACCTCTGCCCCACACCTAGGAAACAAGCCTTCACATGTTCTGCTGCCCAGCAGGCCACATGCAGTTCAACACTAAACTCCTGTTACAAAGAGCACCCAGAACGACGATGCACCAGCAGCACGGTCAGTCCCAGGCTCTTCCTGTGGGAGTCATCAAGCAACACAATTCCCAGGGCCTCTACAGACAAAAGAATGAGATGACACTCAACCATCATGCCAGTTCTAATAGGGTCTAGAGATGTTCAATGGCATCACTGAGCCCCGTGAGACGCAGAAGTCACAACAACTCATGAAAAGGAAAGTGTTCATTGAGAGATTCTCTAGTGTTGACTTAGTTGAGCCTATTATTGTTAACCAGATAGTTACTGTCTGCATCAAACTGGCAACCTGGAGCAGCAGCCTTCCCCTCAGTGGTGCACTGCCATGGCCGGACCCCTCCCTGCAGTGTTCTCTCCTCGGATAAAATGGCAAGCCCTGTACTCTACCAATTGCAGACCAAAGAATGAAGAGGTTGGCACTCAAGAGATATTTTACTTCATAGACAGAGGAATGTCACCTCTGCACTGCACTGAGTACTTTCACAATGAAAGATTCAGATCTTCAGATAACAATTTAAAAATGTAGATGGGTGTGCCTGCCAGGATCTAACTGCCTCGCTAGTTAGATCCAACTCAACAAAAGTACTTGAAATCTTTTCTGCTGGTTCGTATTTCAAAAGAAATCCCTGATGGAGGAAGCACAGACCTTCCAGTATAACTCATAAACTTTTCAATACAAATATGAAACTCAGTTCAGAGCAAGTGTCATCTGACTGGATTTCTCTCCTTCATCCCTGAATGTGTGTGTATACAGGCATACACGGCGTGCCTGCGCGCACACACACACACAGCCATCAGCATGGCATGCTTGCTGAAGATTCGAGCACTCCTGCGTGAAAATGCAAGTACACTATGTCAGGCCAGCCCCACTATGACATCAAAAACCCCCCACCAAAGAAAAAACACCCCGGGAAAGTAGCCAGGAAAGGGAAACGCCTCCTTGAAACAGCCTGAGAAAGGCAATCTAATTCAGCCTGTGCTGAAACTATTCCCGAACACCAGCCAGGAAGTCCCTTCTTTCAGGGTGCTCCGCTGCCTAGCAAACCCAGACCTGCCTTTGCGGAAGCCAGATCTCTGGAGATTCAAGCCCTGGAATGGGTGATTTGGAAAGCGGCTTTCCTGCTCTTGCTCTGCCGCCCTTTGAGATCCATCAGTGGCCAGGTCTTCCAACCCTGCCTAGCCAATGCAAACACAAAAGCTGGTGGCTGTACCGCAAGCACACATTTACTTATATACACACACAACACAGCACATACTTATACATACATACCTTTCACCCTCCATTGTGTGAGGCCCAGTCAGGGTGGTAGCTGCTGAACTGTGTGCATGCACCCGGGGATTCTAGTTCTGTTCTTGATTCTCCCAGCAGACCAGTGGGAGATCTGATCAGCAACAGTGATTCAGCATGGCTGCAAGTGAAGCCTCCTCCCTTCTCAATCCTCCTTCCTCTGACTTACTCGCAGCAGCTTCTACCGCAAAAGCAGCAGCAGCAGAAAATGTCTTACCCAGAGCTCCCTGCAGCCCTTTCAGCTGCTAAAAGCAGCAACCCACTTGCTCCCCCTCCCCCGCAGGCTTGCTGCTCCTTGGTCTCCTAGGAACGGCAGCAGCTCCAGCGACCCAGGTGCACTGCCACCTTTCCAGCTGCCTCTGCATCTGCCCAGGCATCCCCAGCCCAGGCGATTAGCCCGCCCCTGGGGCTCCTGCCTCCTCTGTCTAGGCTGCAAAGAATCAGGCAGTTCGTCACTAGCCCGAGAAATACTGGCCCCTACACCCTCCCCTGCCCCCATAGGCTATGAGTCTGTCAGCCTGGCCAGATTGCTGGAATGAGGAGGCCCCTCTGTGGCCTGCAGTGGAGTTTATCATCCACCTGGGGAAATTCACTTGTAGGTCACAGTTTATGTTCCAAATCCTCCTCCCAAATTCTATAGTAGCTCTGAGTGTCTGATAGATGGGGAGAAGTTAAGGAAAAAGCACCTGACAGAAGTGAGAAGAACACAGAGAGAAATTAAAAGAATACAGAGAGAAATTGGAAAATTAGTCGAAAAAGAGAGGTAGTACAAATAGGTGAAATGGAAACAAACCCTATTTTACTCCAAGAGGCCAAAGACTATTGCAGTAAAGCTATCACAATGAATACTAAAATATCTTAGCACAATCCTAAAATATCTTCCTAAAATCTGTCATATTGGAATTTAACTTAAGCTGTGGCTCCAACTAGTAAGTCTCCCACTGAACCCCCATATCCAGCCAAAGATCTTTCACATCCTGTAATCTCCAGCTGCTAAGCTTCTATTTAGACTAATTTAACTCTCCCTGCCTGGAAAGGCTTCTCCAATCCCAGTCCTTTAGTCTTTCTGGGAGGCTAGTCAAAATCCCATGTCTTCGTAACTTCCCGAATCACACCAATGACAGCCAATCACCACCAAAATAGCTACAAACTATACTGTCCTATATTGTCATCTCACACCTAATATACTGTCTTGCCTAATTCATTATTTATAAATCTTCTTTCCCAAACTAAAACATAATCTTGTGGAAGGCAGGAGGCCAGTCTGTATATCCTAGCCACAGAGGCTTAGAGGTAACTGGGGCAATTAGCCACAAAAAGTGGTGCAGAAGCTACCCTAATGCCTCAGAAAAATCAGCTATGAGCATCTCTCTTCTGGGACCCCTCAAGACACTCCTGGGCTTTTCCGAATCTGCACCAGCTCTCACTGGGTGAGTGACTTTCCTGAGTAGTGTTCTCCACACTCTGGACCTCATGCTTAGCTACTCATTCACAATATAGGGTCAGACCAGACAGTCTTTAGAGTCCCTTTCAGCTCCAAAATCACAGGATTCTAAAAATGTTTTAAATGGTCTGTTTTTCTTCTCAGAGTAATCTGTATGATTGTTTAAGAAGAAACACTAGGCGCTAATGTTTTGTAGGGGGCTTCAAGGAGGATAACATGATGTAGGTGAAAGTATGAAGAGACGCTTAGTAAATCTATCATTCTTATCATTTTAACCTGATAAATGTCTTCACTACTACAAAGCTCTAAAACCACAGAAGGAAGAGAGAAACACTGGGGTGACAGAAAGTAAAAGTAACTAATACTTTATATAGCCTCCTGAACTCAAACTGGCTACAGGGTTATTCTCAAAGATTACCTCCCCTGGCACCTCAGCGTTCTCTTAAACGAGGCCATTACTCAAACTCACTCTTTCTCAAGTGAGAAGAGGCCTGGATAATTTCATTTACACCCCACAGGGCTGTATCTTCACTTCTTCCTTTCACAACAATACCCCTCCTATCTTGTTCCCTCTATGTCCCTTCCTCCTGTAATCAGCCTTGTGGCCCTGCTCCAGATATTTCCTCTTGAGGTCAATCACAGGGACCACAAAAAACTGAACATCACAAATAAGGAAATTGAATCTCGGAATCCATGCCAGAGTTCAGACATCCACCAGGAAGACAACTGGGTGATTCATAAAAGGGACATAAGAAAGAGATGACTCCTTTGCACATACCCACGTTTACATATTCGCCTTACAGGAAGGTGGGGAAATGCCACATCTAATACACCAGACAGAAAGAAAAAAGATCCAAAAAGGAAATATGTAAGGGTTGTGGGTATTCAAGTTTCAAAATACAACTATTAAGAGCCAATATCAAAACCCACAAAATTTCCCTGCAACCCACTTTTGCCATGCTAACCGATATCATTATAATGTATGTGTCAAAACCATACTACTACACCTTCATACTTTATTCACCACTCACGATTCACAGGAAGTAGACAGAATAGAGAATACTCAGAAGACGCCATTTAGAAAAGAAAGCTCATCTTAAGCAAAAAGAACAAAGCTGGAGGTACCACATTAACTGACTTCAAACTATACTACAAGGCTATAGTAACCAAAGCAGTATGGTATTGGTATAAAAACAGACACATAGACCAATGGAACAGAAAAGAGAACCCAGAAATAAAGCTGTTCACCTACAACCAACTGATTTTCAACAAAGTCAACAAAAATAAGCAATAGGGAAAGGACTTCCTATTCAATAAATGATATTGGGATAACTGGCTATCCATATGCAGAAGAATGAAACTGGACCCTATCACCATATATAAAAATTAACTCAGCCAGGTGCAGTGGCTCATGCCTGTAATCCCGACACTTTGGGAGGCCAAGACAGGCAGATCACCTGAGGTCAAGAGTTTGAGACCAGCCTGGCCAACCTGGCAAAACCCCATCTTTACTAAAAATACTAAAATTAGTCAGGTGTGGTGGCATGTGCCTGTAGTCTCAGCTACTTGGGAGCCTGAGGCAGAAGGATCATTTGAACCCGGAGGTTACAGTGAGCCGAGATTGTACCACTGTACTCCAGCCTGGGTGACAGAGTGAGACTCTGTCTCAAAAAATAAAATAAAATAAAATAAACTCAAGATGGAGTAAACAATTAAATGTAAGACCTAAAACTATTAAAATCCCAGGGAAAAAACCTAGGAAATACCCTTCTAGACATTGACCTTGGCAAAGAAGTTACGACTAAGTCCTCAAAAGCAATTGCAGCAAAAGCAAAAATTGACAAGTAGGACCTAATAAAACTAAAGAGCTTCTGTATAGCAAAAGAAACTATCAACAGAGTAAACAGTGTACGGAATAGGAGAAAACATTCATAAACTGCATCTGACAAAGGTCTAATATGCAGAATCTATAAGGAATTTAATTCAACAAGCAAAAAACATATAAACCCATTTTGAAAAGTGGGCAATGGACATGAACAGACGTTTCTCAAAAGAAGACATACAAACAGCCAACAAATATGAAAAAATGCTCGTCATCACTACTCACCAGAGAAATGCAAATCAAAACCACAATGAGATACCATCTCATCTCACACCAGTCAAAATGACTGTTACTAAAAAGTCAAAAAATAACAGATGTTGCCAAGGCTGTGGAGGAAAGGGAATGCTTATACACTGCTGGTGAATGTAAATTAGTTCAGCTACTATGGAAGGCAGTCTGGAGATTTCTCAAAGAACTAAAAATAGAACCACCTTTTGACCCAGTAATCCCATTACTACGTATATGCTCAAAAGAAAATAAACCATTCTACTAAAAAGGCACACACACTTGCATGTTCATCACAGCACTACTCAAAATAACAAAGACAAAAAATCAAGTTAGGTGCCCATCAATGGTGGACTCAATAAAGAATGTGTGGTATATATACGCCATGGAATACTACATGGTCATAAAAAAGAACAAAATCATGTCCTTTGAGGCAACATGAAAGCAGTGAGAGGCCATTATTCTATGTGAATTAATGCAGAAACAGAAAACCAAATGTCACATGTCCTCACTTATAAGTGGGAGCTAAACACTGGGCACATATGGACATGAAGATGGGAACAATAGATACTGGGGACTACTAGAGGATGGAGGGAGGGAAAAGGGGTGATATGATTTGGATGTTGGTAGGATCCAAATCTCATGCTGGAATGTAATCCTCAGTGTTAGAGTTGGAGATAGGGCCTAGTGGGAGGTAATTGGGTCATAGGGGCAGATCACTCATAATAGTTTCACGCCGTCCCCAAAATAATGAGTGAGTTCTCACTCTGAGTTCATTCAAGATCTGGTTGTTTAAAAGTGTGTGGCACCCTCCTCCTCACTCTTGCCTCTGCTCTCATCATGTGATATACCAGGTCCCCCTTTGCCTTCCACCATGATTGTGAGCTTCCTGAGGCTTCCGCAGAAGCAGATCCCAGCACGCTTCCTGTACAGCCTGCAGAGCCATGAGCCAATTAAACCTCTTTTCTTTATAAATTACCTAGCGTCAGGTATTTCTTTATAGCAACACAATAACCACCTAATACAAGGAGCAAGCCTTAAAAGGTAGTTGAAAAGCTACCTATTGGGTACCATGCTCGTTACCTAGGTGACAGGATCATTCATACCCCAAACCTCAGCATCATGCAAGATACCCATGTAACAAACCTGTACATGTACCCCTTGATCTAAAATTAAAGTTGAAATTTAAAAAAAAAAGGAAGAAAGGTTATCTAGCAAAACCAGGGACAGAGCTGAGTCAGGAAGCAAAGTCTCCAGACTCCTAGCACAAAGTTCCTACCCCCAATATTTTCCAGTTTCAGAGATACATTTTACATTTTCTAACTTATTATCCAAATGTTCTCTGGACCACAGCCTGAACCTGTTTGCTCTAGGCTAATTTTCCTGACTGGACTTCAGATTAAGGACAGTTGCTGTTGGAGTCTTGCAGTAGAGGAGAGTCAAAAGAATGAAAGTGGTATCTGTCTGGAGAAAAAGGTACCATCGTCAGATTGCCCAGCAATAATAGTGTCTTAGTCCAGCGGGCCCCAACCTTTTTGGCACCAGGGATCAGTTTCATGGAAGGCAACTTTTCCAAGGATGGGGGTGGGGGGTCAGGGAGGATGATGGTTTCAGGATGAAACTGTTCCACCTCAGATCATCAGGCATTAGATAGTTTTTCAAGGAGTGCACAACCTAGATCCCTTGCATGCACAGTTCACAATAGGATTCATGCTCCTAGGTGAATCTAATGCCACTGCTGAGCTAACAGGAGACAGAGGTCAGGTGGTCATGCTCACCTACCGGCTGCTCACCTCCTGCTGTGCATTCCAGTTCTTAACAGGCCACAGACCAGTACCGGTTGTGACCTGGGGACCCCCGTCTTAGCCTAGTCCTTCCCACACCCCAGCCTTCTTCTACAGCTTATCAAAAGTCCCCAGTGACCCCAGATCTCTACCCCAAAGCAATTTATTCAGTTATCTACACCGACTTTGTTTAGAATCATTCAGGTCTTATGTGGCTTAGGAAGAAACCATGTTGGGAGGAGAAACTTCTTTAAGCTGGGTTTTATCTAGAAAGTTCTCTCTTCCATACTCTATCTCTGTACAGGGAGCCAGTACAGTTTATCTGAAGACAGCTAAGTCAATCATTCTTCCTTGTAAATGCCCTTTTTCTTTTCTCGCTTTTACCCTCCTTCTCCAGGACATCAGTTCCTCACATTGGCAGGCACCATAACACAGTACAATGGTCCCACACCTAGCTGTGCATCAGAAACATCTGCCCAGCTGGTTAAAATGGTAGCTGTCGGATCAATAGGCATGAAGAAAGTTTTAGGGTTACAGAAATGTTCTGTATCTTGACTGTGGTAATACCTGCACAACTGTATACAACTACTGCATTTCATTAAACTATATACTTAAAAAAGGTTTATTTTATGCAAATTATACCTCAATAAATCTGGAAAAATGAAAAAACACTGCAGGGTCCAGCTCTTCCTCACACCCATAGAATTAGAGCCTGAGGAACAGGAATTTTAAAAAATTTTTTCCTTTAGTTTTAGAGATGGGGTCTCTCTATGTTGCCCAGGCTGGACTCAAACTTCTTGAGCTCAAGCAATGCTCACACCTCAGCCTCCCAAAATGCTGGGATGGACAGGTGTGAGCTACTGCACCCACTGGGAACAGGAATTTTAATGAACTTCATAGGTGACTCTAATGCACAGCTGGATGCAAACATCACCTGAACAATGAAAGGAGCCCAGACCATTAAAATCAGACAGGGCAAGGTTCAAATGTACTTACCAGAAACATGACCCTAGGCAAGTTACAATCTTCGATTTTCTCATTGAAAAAAGGTGAGAACAATAGTACC